ACTTTCAGGCTATTTGAAATCTACTGCAACCTCCTTAAAAGTTCTACCCATATTATTAAGTGACGTCCATTTAGACGAGAAGTTCAAAAGCTATTCCATCAGGACTGATCCATTTTCTGCCTGTTAAATAAATATCTTTCCTAAGAAGCATTAAATAATCAAACAACTTTAACACTTTATGCCATCTGTACATACAAATTACATAAGATGCGATTCACAGTGATTATACTTGTAAATAACGAATACCTTCTGTTTGGTCACTTGTTTGATTAACACAGCCGAGTCGACTATGTAGATTCACTTATGTTTTTTATCCTCTTGTGAATATTGTGTATAGTTTTGTCCGATCAATTGGCCATTTAGTAATCTTACTTCATCTTTAGCATTTTATCTTAAATGAAGTTGGCTGAACTATCTCCAGATGTAATGTAAATCAGAAATCAATAAGTGTATACATCTTGATTGATCACTACGATATACAACTTACAGTACTGGTGAATAAGTAGATCAATGATAAAACATTGGTTTATTTCTTTGAAACCCGAAATGATCCACCATACTTAGTAATAAAATAGCATAGTTATTTACTGAGAGTTAAACGCATCTGTGTCAGGAAAGTTTTCATAAGGTTTATACATAGTTGGAATTCGCATGTAGACCTATACAAAAAGAAAAATTTCAGATAAAACCTATCAAGATGTATGCAAAATATGACAGGTTTTAAAAGAAGTCTAGCATCCATAAATGACTTACTGAATCATTAGTTAGAATTTAAACCATAGTGGTGCACCTGTTTTTCCATTCACATATTCACTGAAAATAATTTACCCTAGATAGGCATGTGACAGTTGTCTATTATGCTTTCCAGAAGATTACAATCTTGTATCTATTTAACCTTGGTAAAAACACAGTGACTAGTATTGACAAATAGGAATTTTGATTTTTGTTTTACTGATTTCCTGGTTTCGTGAATACATTTGAAAGCCGCTAATTGACTTCATTCATCGAACAGCATGTTCAAGTTTGATTGTAACAGACAACTGAAAACCATAGTGTTTTCATTTCAAATTCATGAAAGTCAATATGATAAGATTTATTTAACAAACGATTAAGTGAATAATATACACCTTCAGGTTTTTAATCAGAGAGCTGCATGGAAAGTGCCAGTACTTGTAAGTCAATAATTCTTAGTATGTTGGGCCAATAAAGTAATATAAGAATGGTGATGTAAGAAATACGAAACTGTTTAACAATATGAATGAGTGAGTGTCAGTTGAAATCAAGTGCTGAGGAGTTCGTAACAAAGTAAGTAAACTATAGATAGCTGCTAACAGTGGAATCCATGGTGCGTTTCGTCCTATCTGGAACTCGTTAGCTGGGTAAACAGTTGTTAGTGACGAAGAGAATGGGAAGTTAGTAACTGAGCTAGAATGGTTTACGTAGTAGTAGTGGCAGCATGTAAACTCAAAATTGGTTAGTTTGACCTCAGAATTAGAAAGTTTGAATATTTGGAGTGGGTAAAGACAGTAGATGACAAAGTTGTTCCTAGATACACAATCCCGGTTTCCCTTTTTGCATTACCAGTCCCAAGTAATGTAAAACAAAACTTCCCCCCCCCCATGTTATTCGTAAGACCATGTCTTATTTTGTAGACTTCTGCAACAAAATCTTCTGGAACTGTGTTAGCTGTAATGTACTATGGGGCTATTATTTGGTTTAGGTTGACCTTTACTGATTTATGCTTGGCATTGGTGTCGAAGTTGGACAGTGTGTTTCCGCGTAGCTCAGCAGGAGCAGGCAAGCTGACTTAAGCACATATAAGTGAATGGCAGTGGCAATATATCCTTCACACATGCGTTCACCGTTCGGTGTGAAGAGCAGCTGCATGGAATGTTCTTCTGACAGGCTTCATTAGGCAGTCCCCCTGATGCTACTCGTTTTTATCATTCAACTTGTCTGATTATTAGCTGCTCTGTTTGGAATGGCATTGTAACATAAATATCCAAGCATGCATAGTATTCAGCTAATGAGTTCTTCTGAAATTTACGAATTCACTAAATAGTAATTTTAACGTTCGTCTCTTTTCTGAGATGACCTATTTTGAGGCTGTACTTAATTGTTACTTGAGTGAAGAAAAATATGATTTGAAAGATAATTCAATTAGTACACTCAAAAATTTCACACTTGTGCATCAGACAGATAGAATTAACTTAAAACCTGACATACAAGTGCATCGGTCCAAGTTGCCACACTTCATAGCAGTATACAAAGGCAGGTGGATAAAATAAGAGTCATAACAACGCAGACAAAGTTGTATGAGACAATAAAAAATCTGAAGGTAAAAGTTGGGGCGAATATTCGGGCTTCAGGAGATATCAGAAAGTGAATACATCTGTCACAAAGAGTACCCAACCACTGATTTCTATCATGTCGGAGACCTTAGTCAGGAAATCTACATCTCCCCATACAGCTCAGACTAAGACAGGGACTTCACTGACTGTTGCCACGTCTTCGTCTAGCTACCGTGAAACCTCTTCCAACCTAATCCAATTGTCTGTAGCTTGGCACGTCAAGGTAGGTGGTGGTTCGGCATGAGCAGTACAAGTCCACGGTATCTCAGTCGATGAAGACTCACAAACTCATTAATCAACTTGACTGTGTTGACTAGTATCCTTCGCCTGACCTCAACAGGGTTCACACGGTGATTTCACAAAACGCGAGGAATGCAACGAAGACATTTATGATCAAAAATATGTAACAGCTTCATATCTTCTACTTTCAATGTTAATGTTTCACAGACGTATAACAGGACAGGACAAACTGCAGCACAGTATACTTGTTCTTTGGTAGATATTCGGATAGCTCGCCAGCCTGCGCCACAGATAACGCAAGTTGGCTAATGCCAAACAGGCATCCTGTATCCAAGCTGAAATTTTCCCAGCAACCATCCTGTTCCAGCTGACGCAACTCCCTATTAAGTGAAATGGTCGACACATTCCACCACTTCACTCCCTATCATAAAACTGGGAGAACCAGCAGTAGACCGGCCCTGAAGTATTATCTTACATTTGATAGGTGACAGAGAAACGCATGCCCAGCATACTCAGATTTCTGCTCAACGCATTCAGAGGACCTCGCATTTCGTCAGCGTCTTCGCCTAGCACGTCAAAATTGTCTGCATCCTCCAAGTCAACCAGATGACTTCCAGCGAGTAGGTCAGGAGATACCTAAATTTATGCTCATTAGCACACCTATGAACAAGTTAAGTAGGAACGGTGAAACAGGGCATCTCTAGCGGACACCAATAGTTGTCCTTATTTCGCGAGACAACTCTCCGTAAGCCCTGACACGGCTGCGTGAGTTCGAGTAGAGATTAGCATTACGTACTTGCTCGATACTCCCTTCACAGTCAAATACAGTCAAAACACCTTACGGTCGACTGAGTCAAATGTCGTCTTGAGGTCAATAAGTATAACAATTGTCGGCGGTCGGTAGGTATGCCTGTAGTTGCGATGATCAGTGAAGTAGAACAATCTGACGGCAGTGTCTTTTCTTCTGCTTAAAGTTAGTGCTGGTCAGAAACAAGTGACTATGGGGACAAATTGTAACACACCATCACAGTTGTCCGTAGAGTAGAATTTCCTGTTTGAGCTTTGTATTCTGACAGCCAGCTTAAAAGATATTCGCCGATAGACTGCTAAACGAGCTATACGTAGTTAATACGTTAGCATGGTGATATTAGCTATCTACTTGTTGAAATGTTTTATCATTGCCTAAAGTACATTCCATGATTATGCAAATTGAGATAAATTCCCTTTGAATAACAAAATATTTATTAAACAGTAACAAAATACTTTGTATAACATACAATACGAAAACCAGCCGCAATGCAAATTGACTTTCAAAAGCATATTTCAGTCAGACAAAGGCTAGATGAACAACGGATACACCTTGTTAAAATAACTTAATGAAATATGCGGAAAACAAGAATGAATTCCCAAGTGTCTAGCGTCAAAGAAGCCAGTTGTGTTGTGATTTATACGACTACAAAAGTGAAATAGATGAGTTCTGAATAGCAATATAAGCACAGATGTTCACTCCAGTTCATCAATTTTATTTGTTGGCACAATAATTAGCTATGTGGAATTCAACTGTAGAGTAATAACAATGCTAAGAGTATTTTGAAAACAGTTGACTTTCAGCTACAGATGAAGGGTTACAATACTTTGATATGAAATAAAAGAAGATAAAAATAGACATAACTCACCTAACGAAGCTATGAATACACATAATATTCGAAAACAGATGTTATGGTAGATGTGTGACGGCTTAGATGAAGCTTCTTTGGTACAGCATTGGTGATGAATATTATGGGCTCACAGTATATATGCAAAACTGTCGTATTCATAGCCAGGAAAAAATAAGACAAACAACCAATCAATTGTGAGTGTCCTTCACGTGCGTATCTTCGTTCTCATTCACTAATATTCTGATTAGGCCAACTACATTTTTAAAGACGTGCATTTTATATATCTGGCGCTAAGTACAACATAGTGGTGAGTTGTGTGGGATAACAGTCTAACTTCGTCTTTTCTCTGTGTCAGCTGATGTGACGTCAGTAGCCGTAGGATCAACTCGTATATAGTAACTCGAGGGGTAGCACTAGTTAGGACCAGCATTACGCATTTCCCTCAGTCCGTTGATCATAGGACCCAGCAGGAAATTCAAACAGAGGTCAAGGCCAAAACATCGATCAAACTTGTTAAGTCGTGGACGTAACAAAAACCATTGAAAAATAGGTGTTATTGTATCCTTGTTCAGCATAATTCCGTAGGGAATAATCGATTATATAACGGATCTAGCCTTTAAGTTTTGCGATTAGCAGGCTACCATACACAGTTAAGCGTGACCCACTTGGCCGCTGAGACATAATCAAAAAGCATTACCTAAAATAGCTTTTAACAAAAACTGTATACAGGCATTTCTTTCGAATAGTTATATCATGTTTCACTTTTTACTGAGTCACTGGTATCACACGGATTGATGTCCGCAGTATTTATCTTGAGACACTGCTTGACAGAATTCGAAAGTACGGATAGGTCAGTATCTTCAGCTTCGTTGCAAGGTTGAGTGCTTTCATTACTAAGTCCTTTAAAAATGGGGCAAAAAACACAAAAGCATACAATAAGAAAGCTATTTACAAGAAGAAACTATGTGAGATGAACAAACCACATAACTATGTAGTACATTTTGAGGAATGTCAAACTAAGAGATAAATAACACTCCGTAGTGAAAAATCTCCATTACCACAATTACAACCCCGCAACACGAAATCCATTGTATGTACATACCAATTGCTTCACTATCGGACATTTAGTGGTACCGGTGTTTGGGATAAGTAACAGAAAATAAATAGGAACAACCACAAAATGGCAAAAAAGGGTAATGACACTTCAGTGTCACAAAGAGAGAGGAATCAACAACAACAAAATAAAATATCGATTGTAGTAAGAAATAAAAAGACAAGGAAGATCAACAGGCATTGCTGCGTAAGTCTACGCTGCCACACCTCACATCAGCATATCAAAATAAAAGATAAAGAAAAAGCAGTCGAAAGTGGTAGAAAGTTGCGATAAGATAAGAGTGGGAATAAGAGAATACTACAATCAGTATAGGGATAAACATGAATATATCTGCGCCACTGACGTCGATTCTTAGTCATATCATCTAGTTTCCAACCACTGGTTTTTGTTGTCACGCGGATCCCAATCAGGAAAATTTTCACTTTTCTCCACGCTTCACATAGTCACTGATTTAATGCACTGATGTTATGTTTCTGTCTGGCCTCAATTAACCTTCTTCCCACCTGAACTTACTTTAGCTAACATTGCATGACGAGGCACAATGACTACGTATGCGTAACACATGTCCCAGCCATCTAAGTTGATTAAGGTTCATGACCTTGTAAACTGACTTGTCTTTTCGCCCCAAAACTCTACACCTGACTTCTGTTACTGACGTGGTGACACCATGATACATGGTCAGTGCTGAGAAGTCAACGGTGTTCGAATGCCTGAAATAGTCTCATGTCCTTTACCTTCAATGGCTATGTTTCACCGTTATAGAGTAGAAGAGAGTGAGGTGCAAGTACAGTACACTTGACTTTTAATAGACAATCAGATATCGTGGTGGCGCCACAGATGGTGTAAGTTGACAAAAGTCAGGCGAGCCTTTTGTATCCATAAAGAGATTTCGTCAGCCCCTGACCCAGCAGGGTCGATCCAACTTCCCGTTCCATTTTGTCTTTGATGTTGCAGCGAGAATTATGAATTCAGCGCAATATCCTAATTTTGCTATTTATTCTCTATTTATGTGCTGCAACGGAGTGCATCAACTCGAAGCGTCTAACCTATATGTGAGGTTTTTGTTGATTTATCCGTCTGCCTGTAATAAATGCTACGTTTTCAAACGTCATAATAAATTGTGACTGTTTTACTTGAGTGATCTATCTCCAATTTTTCACTCAAGACTGACTTCATTAATTGACCCGTTTCATTTATTGTCTTCATTCAATCGTCACCTGACCTCAGTTTCGATTATGTTAAGGACGAATTCTACCAAAGCCTATCAACCTTACTAAACACTTAGATTTCATCGTTTTATTAACATAATTCTGCGAGCGAGGAGAGTGAGTTAAAAAAAAAAGAAAGGTATATTCTGAGTCCCACGCCAATATGCTGACAATAATGATCACCTTCTGCCAGTTTTTTGGTGACAATTACTTGTTGTTGACATCTGACCTACTGGTTTAAGAAATAAAGCCAAAGATGTACGCAGATGAAGCATGTTGCTGCTCCATATCGTAAGTGTGAACAATTGAGATGGTGGTATTCCTTTTAAGGTACTCGCCTTGGCACTGATTATGCGTTATTTCGAGCAAGAATATGTTTTTGTCTGAATGGGTAGGGGAGACATAGAGTTAGAAAGTTTCGATGCGCTCGACTCGAAGATGAAGATATCAAGTCTGTATTCGAATACATTTGTTGAAGTATGATAACGATCCTTGTTCCAGTGTATCCTAGCAATCATGATGATACGACGATAATAGTTAGGAAACTGTAAGCAGTGTTGAATCACAGCCAGAAAACATGCAAAACCAACGAAGGACCTAGCACAGAAGTGCACCAGTCCATGTTACTTTACTTCAAACCAGAATCCAAAAACGTGGGTTGAAAAAAAGTGATATCAAGGTAAACAAAAGTGTATGAGGAGAGAAATTTGAAAATCAAAGTCAGTGAAAATGTCCAAGCACTACAAGACATAGAAGAGTGAATATATCTGCATCGTAGTGATCGACTTTCAATCAGACATTATACGGAGATTCTCCAAACATCGAATATTATCGTCTCGACGATCCCAACTAAACAATCTGCACCTCTATACACGGCTCACAGAGACTTCACTGACTAGTGCCATATCTTGATCATATTATCATTAACCTTCTAACCTAATGCTACTTCGACTAACATTGGACATCGAGGTTTGCGGTGCTTCGGCATGCGTAACACATGCTCAAGTCACCTTAGTCCATGAAGATTCATAGCCTCATCGACTGACTTGCCTTCCTTCCTTAGTACGCTTTGTCTAGCCTCGATACAGTTCGTACAGTGATTCCATCATGTTTGAATACTCCTGCGTCTGAAAATTCACGACATCTGCACGTTTGCTTTCAAGGTCCATGACTCAGCCGTACAATAGGACAAAAGCGGAGTGCAGCGCAGCACACTCGTCTTTCGATAGGTAATTGAATATCAAAGCCAACAGATTGCTATGACTTCAAACAAATTAACCCATGTGAGAAGATCCATGAAAGTGGTTTAGATCGAGATAAGGAGTGAAAATAATCGACTCACAATGAACAAGTATGGTGACAGTGAAGGATGACAGTAAAAAAGCAGAATAAGTGTTGACACTAGCTTTTATCAGACCGCTTTGAAAAAATCAGCCTTGAACGACCTATTAAAAGAGCGATAAAACGTAGGATGCAACACTTTGAGGAATAGTTTAGACGGTCCACAACCAAGCTTTAGATGCCAGTCATCCATGCACATTAAATTTGACAACTGGTAAAATTTCTAAGTCAATTCCAAACCTAAAAAGGAAATAGGTGGCAGAACCTGACGGTTTACCTGATCAAACATTTAAAAATGAAGATCAGCAATAGCCTGCTAGATTACTCTAAATCTTTGCTGCAGTTTGAGAATAAGATAATTCCGTAATAAAAGGTTTTAAGGGATAGTAATTTTATTATGCACACAAACATACAAGAAAGTATGTGTAATGCTCTTACACGCACCTCACATTTTCGTAGTGTAATTAGGAAATATAGGAGTAAAAATTGGGTACCGTGGTCAGTTGTAGTTCCATTTTAGTCTGTTTATTAAAAATATCACACAGTGAAACAGTAGCATTTACTGGATAACTTTTCGGACACAATTTATCGTCCGTATACATATCATATCATGCAGAATTTGTCTTTCCATTCTTTCTGTTTTCTTCTCAAAATCTTCCTTTACTTTTGATGAATATCTTCCCTATTTCTCTTTCTTGGCGCTTCCTACGTTGATTCACTGACGTGAGGTGTGACAGCTTGAAATGCTATGGAGTAATGCCATGCCCCATAGTGATAATGAATGACTAGCACGAACATGACGATAGCTTACAGCAACTTCGAAGCTGCTATAATGATAGGCCAGCTAGAGAGATTTTCTTAGTGACCAATCCAGCGATTCAAACTTTAATTCAGCTTGTTGATCACACCATCTACTCCATAGATCGTCTCGCTTAAACCTGGCCTCTTCTTGCCAGTTTCTCAGATGAACTAGAAGAGCTTCTGACTGCTGTGATGAAGCCACCGCTTCCAGCTCACTGGCGCATTTTGATCACCAATCCTTAACATCACTAACTTAATTCTGTATTTGTCACGTGAAGGAATTCAGCATACCGATCTACCCAATGCTCATCAGAATAGATAAGAAGCATTAAGATGCTGGGAGGAGCTTGCAGAGGGATAGTATTTAATTAACAAGAGGGTCTTCGAAACTGCTACAGCCATTGGTTGTCTATGCTTCCTGGAGGCTCTACAGATAAAACTGGAGAATATTTGTAGTTTAGGTGGATGGTTTTGATTGTATTGTGTTCTCTGAGCTGAATTGTTTAAACTTTTCGTGAGTTCTGGACCCCAAAGTTCACATACATGACTTGGGATCAGTTTTCAACTCCCCTAGATGATTCATTCATATCTTAATATCTATAGTAAGTTCCAACACCAAGTCATGAAATAAACTGTTCATTAAAAGTCGACATGTTTGCACTGCATTCCTGATACCGAAATACATAAACAGAAACTCAAATGATCTCAAATGAGTGATAATTGCCATTTATATGCCTTTGAGTGTTATTAAAATTTGATTAACAGTTGAAACTGGATCTAATTCGCATCTATACAACATAAGGTGGTAATGAGGTTGTCCTCTGATAAATATTTCTGACAATTAAGCGGTACTTGCCCAAAACAATATATTTTCGCAATACAAACTAGGGAGTAATAAGGCATGGAAATAAAAGATCGCGGTAAAATGAATGAAGATACTTACTTTTTGCGATTAATTTGTCTGCAGAAGCTTTACAACCTTCTTTGAACACTTTCTGAAACTCCTGTGCAGCTTGAAAGCATAAAACAACAAATCAAAAGTTTAAAAAACGGGAAAATGAGTTTTTCGGTAGTAAGAGGTATACGTACAAGCATTTAATGACATACAAAAACTAAACAATGTACTTGTGATTTTAAAAGTGTCATGGACCTTGTTAAAAGACATCTAACTAATCATCTTAAACGTGCAGTAGTAAAGGAAAATTAATACTATCTAAGCTAGGCCATTATTAAATTTATCACTAATTGCGACGTTGGAATAAGTTATGCAAATCAAACTAGGATACCAAGTTACGGACCACACAACATACGACGGCTTGTGCTACCACATAGTTGTTCAGACCCAAGAATGTATAACCCGCGCCATGTGAAATGTAATTCACATAAGAGTATGAGATCTGCAACTTATATTCAATTAAGACGTGAAAGTATTTGCTGTCTAACAGTAAGAACGAAGATCATCTCGAGTCAATGACAGGCATAATACATAGTCTTATTTTAAAGCTACTGCTTAAGATTGCGAAAAGAATAAAAGGTGTATACATTTGCGTTCCTGTGCAATGCCATACGGAGCACTAAAACATCTTCAGGATTCTAGAGGAATCAGAAACCATCCTACCATGCAGATATATTTCGTCACATACCTTTTGCAATGATTCTAACACTTACTGCTTTTAATCGAAGCCCTAGTGAAGGTAAGTTTAGGTATGGTCTCCGTTTGGTCGTCGAAAACGTATCAATATGGTTTCTACGTTTTAATGTCACAGGTGTTCTGTTTGAATACTTTGATTTGAGTAGAATGCAGTTGGTCATTGGATCTATACGTCTTTTGAAAACAATAGGATTTCATTTCTAAATCGTTTTTAATGAGTTCAACCCAATGCAATAAGTTTGAACATTTCAAACAAATAATGAGGGCGATAATAACAATCACACTATCGACCAGTTTGCTGATCTCTTTTTAAATTGTAGATCACAAAAACTAGCTGTTATGATTTGCTGCAATATTCTACATACCATAATAGTGTGACCACTAGAAGACTTTTATCATTCCGTCACCAGCGTATCCTATTCATCATGACTCATGTTACTCATTACGCAAAAATGGACACGAAAACACTGCAATTGCTCGCAGATATATTCCACATCATAACATCCTGATGCCCAACAGAACCTACTTTTCAAAGTTCAATGGCAAATATAGGACTAAGGTCCGGGACATAAAATCCGAAAAACTCGTAGTCAACGTTTTCATCAGGTCAAACAGGGAAGTGTAAAAGCACTCAGTGTAGAACCCATCGGGCAAAATGTATGGCTTGGTGCGGAGTTCTCAAAGCCTTATGCTTTATAGTCCCATTTTAAGCACATTTGAATATTTTTAGTAGAAAATATTTTCTACCAAAAACGTTCATGTTCTGAAACAGATTATATGAACCACTAGCATTTAACATGAGAAACCTACATACTAAGAAATGACTAGTTAAATAAGGCACAGGAGACCTTAAAATAAATAACTTACACACAGAACTAGCAAACCTAACACCTAAAGACTGCGGCTTCACTGTCTCATCAGAAAAATCGCCCATTGTGTTCCAAACAAACGCTTTACTGCTGCCACAATTCGACCGCAGTTGCATACTGCTCATAATCAAATGATTTGCACACACCTAACTGTATATGTATATATGATGGATTTGGAAACCTTGTAGGTTCGGTCACGACGCATCAACAGACGATAACACCCGTTGGACTTGTTACGTAGGATTTTCAATATTCCAACTCCACGTTCTTTCCACTGTGGTGGATCCTCAACAGTATCAAAACGGAATAGCTGTGCTCTTCTAAAAGGGGTGATTCAGTTGAACAACATGCGTAAATACTCTTTGAATAGACACTCTTCATTTTCTTCACAGTTTGATACTGTTACAGAGGGTAGAACAACTACGGGTTCGAAGAATGATTCCGACCCTTCGTGCTTCGAAAATTCATCTCAGCAAAATGTAAACTCACTGCTGAACTGCTTGGCATAATTGGGTGCCAGTCGCCGGACGTAATTCTAAAGTCCTAAGTGGCAATAAGCTATCCCCAAAACGAATTTGGCCGACTTCTGTTTCCGGGCGACCTTGAGCGACAGAAGTGAAGTGGGTTTCTCATAACTAATTGCGTTCAGGTAGTTGATGCGTGGAATAGGCTATGGTGCACGTAATATACTTCAATAAATAGATCTTTTTATGGTTTAAGAGGTTTAAATACCACTAACTAGCTAGCACACTGTTTGAAAAGAGAAGTGACTTTTCACATTCAGCTAGATTCTTGGGAATTTGTGTTTTTACACATCAAAGGCCGTTGTACTTTTGCTCCAATTGGAATCTTATTCCACTAAAGTGAGACAAGAACTTTCACTGGGTGAATTTCCGTAGTTTCTGCCTCACGGTGAGCCAAAAGTGTCGTAAAAAGGCTTGTGGTAGGGCCGGGTGCCACTTCACAGTGGCCCCTGGTATGCAGTATAGCAAACGTAAGAGTTGATTCGACGATAACTGCGCAAGCCCCACACCCCCAACATATAAGAGGTACTCCAAAGGAGGAAGTGTCTACCTTTACATTTTGTGCTGCTCGGATATTCACACTCTAGTAGAAGAAGCAAAAGCACTTCTAAATACGGTAACTAAGAAACTGCCGTCAAAAGTCAAGGCCGATAACTGTGAAGGTGATAAGGATACAGCGTCCATTGACACATTGCTGTGCAGAATTTCAAGAATATCCCACGACTAGCTGTGAGTCGGACGTGTACACCACCTACTAGGTTTGCTGACAGCGACTCGGAAGATACTACACCAAGCAGGGCAAAGTGAGTGTCTTATGGTTATCACGTCCCTAGGTCTGGCAGACCCAGTCTGAAAACTACTGGCCGTAGGACTAGGTCTACTCCAGATGAAACAAACAGAAGTAAGGCACTCTCAGTGCCAACCCAAAAACCAAGCAAGCAGCAGTTCACACTCAGTTTGGAGACCCAATCATTGGCGAAAAGTAAACAGAATGGAATGCAAGTTCGTTCTGAGGCCATCAGCGTCAAGGCCACTGGACGGCTTTAGTAAACCTTGCATACCCGACTCTGTGAAATGCCAAGTAACCAAATCTAAACGGCATACCAAGAAGCCAATAACGGTTATCGAACCAGCTGTCATCACTCCACAGACTAGAAACAAAGCAGAGCTCCTTGGCAGGTCTGTGACCTTCCACCAAGTTAAAGAAGTAGAAATCCAGAACCACGAAAACGTTTCGAACATGACCTTGGCAAGGCACAAAGTTCGATAAACCAGCTTTTACCAGAAAACATACCAGGAGTCGCCCTACTCAAGATATATAGAGTTGGCGAACAGGAGATAGTCATTACCGAAAACAAGTTTCGATTACTTAAAGTCATGTTTAAGTCAACGGATGAGTGAGATCAGATTCTAAAGAACGCCCGTTGACTTCAAGGATCTGGGGTGTTCGTGAGAAACTAATTGGTTCTTGCTGACTGAATCAAAAAACGAGAAGAGAAGCAGAACTCAAGTCCAGATTAGCAGCAGGAGAGAAAGTTCTGAAAGTGGTGGGTTTTCTTTTGGCGTGGTTTCGGCAACAAATGATGCCGAAGCCTCTACGGATGGGACGGAAACTCATTTAAGTAGTTCCGTTGTCTTGTACACAAATCCACGTAGTCCCTTAAACAAGTAGACCGAGCTTAGTAGTGTGATAAGCAACGAAAGTTCTGACATCATTACTATCTCAGAAACTTGGCTCTCTTCTTGGATCAGTGACTGTGAAACACACTTACGAGGATTTGTCCCTTTTAGAAGTGACAGGTTAGCACGCAAAGGTGGTGGTGCCATCCTTCGCGTTAAGAGTGCCCCAACTGCAAAAGCCACAGAAACGGTTGCACGTGAAAGTGGGACATGTGAAATGCTGTGCTGCCGAATAAAATGCAAGGGACAGTATGTTGATGTAATCGTAATACATCGAAGCCCTGATTGTGAGGCACCAGAATTCCTCTTGAGTAAACTGACCCTCTGGATAGATAAATGCTGATGCCTAGTTGTAGGAGACTTCAAAGTACCATCAGTTTACTGGGATAGACTAACAACAAAAGCACCACATGATTCTTTTGACCACAGGTCACTGGAAATATCAATTTCCTTAGCCCTCATACAGCACATTAGGACACCAGCCAGATACGACCATCAGCATGCTCCATCAGTTCTAGACTTGGTATTCCTACACACATGGTGTATGCTACATCCGGCACCTAGCACCCCTTGATAAAAGTGATCAAGCTGTGATTATCTTCAGATTCACAGATGTCTGGTACCAGGCCGATGCTCCAGCTAGACCCGACATATGGAAAGCGAATATGGAAGCTATTAACCTGGTAACCTCTTCGGAGGGATGGAAAGTGAGTCCAGAAGCCTCAGTCGAAGGTGTGTGGTGCTCCTTCAAACAGTTATATACACGAGTGACCCAACCGTTCATTGCATGGACTGTCTCGAGGGGACGGAAACCCCCCCTCCATAGATCAACCACGAGATCCGAATTTGCCAAGACGTAAGAAAAAGTGTTGCAGTCCTCCCGCCCACCTCAGTACACCCGAAGTGGTGAAGCATTACAACGAAGCCCGCAATAAATACATCACTGCTATCCGACAGTCCCGAATATGCCCTGAAACTTGTCTTGCCCAGGCCGCATTGCAACACCCGAAAGGTTATTTTCCTATATGAACTATAGAAATAAGACGCGTCATGGTATTTCCCCCCTAATCAATGGGTCAGAAAATGACTATTTGATTGGTGATAGGGAAGACGCAGCAGCCATGCCTAGGTATTTTGCTGCACGTTTTACACAAGGATCTTATGTGGGCACTTATCCAACAGTAGAAGCATTGATATCCAACAGAATAAACCCCGTGGATATCGATAGCAATGATATATTTCGGATATTAGTAATCTCCATGTGGAAAAACCAATAGGATCGGATGAGCTGCACCTGAAGCTGCTCAGACAGCCTACACTCTATGTATCCGGCTCACTGACTACTACATTTAGACTGTCCCTCAGTGAAGGCACACTCCACTATGACTGGGAGGATGCCGTAGTAACACCTATCCATAAAGCAGGTTCCAGGCAGCACCCATCAAATTACAGAACGATAAGTTTGACTAGAGCTGTAGTAAAAATCATAGAAAGAGCAATCAAGAAATCCATCATAGTCCACCTAGAGAGCAATACTCTACTGCCTCGTTCACAGCATGGTTTTCGTAGAAAGTTCTCTTACTTGACGAACCTCTTTACAGTCGGAGAAAGTTGGGTTAAGTCTGAAGATGATAGGATACCTGCAGATATCATTTTCATAGACTTTAGTTAGGCGTCCGACAAGGTACCTCATTCCAGTTTGTTCAGGAAACTGGAAAATTTTGGAATCACTGGCAATCTGCTTGCATGGATAAGAGAGTTCCCTATTGGTGGGAGATAAAGAGTAGGGATCAATTCTCAACTATCCTCTTGGAAGTCGGTAGAGAGTGGAGTGCCGCAAGGCACAGTCCTGGGCCCCCTGCTGTTTCTTCTAAACGTAAATTAGCTGCCAAATATCACGAAATCTCTTATGGTTCTTCACGCTGATGATGTAAAACTCTGGCTAAAAATTGGAGACCATGGGGACTTGCGTGCGATTCAGGCAGACCCAAACTGCTTGTTTACCTGTTCAGAGGAGTGGCTGATGCCTACGGATGCAGGTAAATGTGTAAGCATGCACTTGGGATACATACAGCAACACCTAAGATATTGAAGGGGCCCCCCTCACCGTCAGTACTATGCGCGCCTTGAATACTGACGCGTCCTGACTTATCTGCATTCTACTCGGAAATGGCCATACATAAGCCTCCCTAATCGGATATTTCCTCTGTGAAAGTTACAATTTTACTAAAAAACGTTTTCCTACGGAACGTACAGTCCTCAGAAGGTCAGCACCATCACCTTCCAAGTGGACAACTGTGTGGTGGGCCTAACTGTCTCGACCAACTGCTACAGCTCAGGTTGCTGCAACTGCAGCGCTTCTTATCTCATTCAATCGCACACCTTGGACCTGTGGGAGGCTTTGAGCGTTCTTCCATGTCTTGCAACTGTGCAATCCTGGGTAAGGCTGACAACTTATTTTGTCTATCACTGCTTTCCTACGTTTCACTTGATGCAACCATCTGTGTAGAGCTCGTTTATATCCCCTTCTAATCACCTATGGAGATGAGTAACAACCGAGTTCTAGCCAAATCTGGTATCATGAACGCCTCAGGTAAAGCCTTACCTCGGCTACAAACCTCCCCATACTTGGTAGTAACTAGGGCCGGAGGCAAGAGGCTTAGTGCCGCCGCAAACGTTCGCCGGCCGACCCCAGGGGGACAGCTGCAACAACCACTTCCTGGGAAAAGCCGAATTCCTGTCCCACTAAACCCTTGTGCTGCAGTTCATCGAAGAGCATGCCTTTCTGATACTACCAGCCCAAACCCTAATCTACATGTGAAGGCTACCCCTGATAGACGGAAGAGAAGAAAAATAGTCATCAACTAAAGCTTCTAGTCAGACTGATGACTGCCACACATGTGGTCTCATCGCAGCCAAAAGGACGCTGCTTTTGAGTGTAACAACTGTAGAAACTGGGTGCACAGTCAGTGTGATGAGGATAAGTCAGACCAATATTACACCTTCATGGCGTGCTACCCATGCACGTGGTTTCGGTACATCTGCCCACGGTGCCGTATAAGGTCACTCTTTTCTACAGGCTCGCTGAGGGAGGTCGTTAAAGACATCGCAGTGGCTACTGTGATGCCGGCACCCGCACAGACCACCACCCCGGGTCCAAGTGGCAAGTATGTCAGCACCGTTCCTCGGACAGTCACACCGGTGAATAACCCAAAAAGACCCAAGCGCCGACCAGGCACACGACCAATTACATCAGTCCCTAACCCCGAAGTTACTTTAACGGCTATTCTCACTGTACGCCGGGAAAAATGGGTGACAGTGGAAAAGAAAGTGCACCCTTCTCATAAAAAAACTAACCACAGTACACGAAAATAAAAAAGCTGACGACAGGTAGAACTCCATCA